AGAGGTGATAGTGGGCATCCTTGCCTAGTTCCTGTTCTTAAAGGGAATGCCTTTAACCTCTCTCCATTAAGAACAATGTTGGCTCTTGGGTTTTCATAGATTCATGGGATTTTCAAGGCTGTAAGTCATACAGGAGGATAGCACAGCTTTCAATGGACTACATAACTCGAGCTCCCATTAAAGTTAATAGGAAATGATTATTTTCAAGGTTAACTAAAATAATAACGATGGTATTGAAAACTTGTGCATTAGTATTCTCTGACTTCCATTTGTGTTAACATTACCAAGAAGAGCCTACTGATTAAGTTCCCATCTCGGTGTGCACCATCACAATGTGCGACCATTTCATGCCACCTTTATCTTTGTTTTAGCCAAAGTCACACGCTTCCTATCAGAAGATTGTGCTGGAAAAATTGTAGTGAAGAAACTGAAAAGAGTGAAGGAGAGAGTGCCGAATGGTTGGAGTTTGCAAGCTGTGGCGAAGATCACACTGTGAAGATACACAGAGTTAAGAGATGCACTGTGTAAAGGACAGCACAGCTACAGGTGTCTGAAGTAATGTGATCAGCGGTGTCTTAAAATAGTTATCATGTAAATACATCACCTTTATTTACCTTTGCAACTTAACTTTAATTTTTAGGTCATATTTGAGTCCTAACTTGAGTTACCTTAATTGAGTTGTAGTCATTTTATAGTCCTTATTTGAGTTCCAGATCATTTGAAAATCTGATGCAAACTGTGAATCTTTTTCTCACTGTTTTTGTGAGTGATTATACACCCACACTTTGACACATTCTTTTAGAGAGATGGGGCTCCTGCAAAGAACTCCTATTATCTGTTACTGAATTTTTGCAATTTTGTGGCTCTTCTTTTGATATGTCTCTTCTGAAATATTTCATTATTTACTACATTATTTAAACGATATTTCATTATTTACCTTCTTCAGAGAGTCGCCCTGGAAAATAGTAGCAGAGGAAATCCAGACTGCTCAATTTATATGTTAACCACTTTTGTAAATAAACATATCTTACAAAGTTTGCTAATTCTCGACTCCTTCTTCCGAGGAAACACTGATAATTCTAGGAACTTGGCAGGCAGTTGTGAGCTTGAACTTGAGTCAATCCCTTTATTTAATTAAATTTTTTTAAGATTCTTTTAGAGACTGAGAGCAGAATATCCTGACATTTAAATGGTTAGCCGTCAGTGCTAAAAGTTTGGAATCATTTGGACAGGAGTGATAGATGAGGTCACGAAATTGATGACTGTCCCCCAGGAGAATGTGTAATGGGAACAGAGAGGAGAAGTGAGGGCTGTAAGACAATGTTGGGGTGTGTCAGGGTTAAGAGGGCCAGCCCAGTTGGACAGCTTGAGTTGGGTGGAGAATGCTTAAGGGAGGATGTCAGAGGTAGGGATGAAGATTGGTGTGAGAATGGAGGCTTGCGTCAGATCCTATTGGAACATGGGCCTGTCTGACAAATGGGCACCGAAATGCAGTTTATATCTAATAAATGTGCTGAAAAATGAGGGTGTGCTGAAAAATGAGGGTGTGCTAAAAAATGAGGGTGTGAACATTTTCTCAGTGGGAGGTTATGCAGTTCTTTAACATGGTATTTTGCTTGCCAAAGAGTTAAATATTTTGCTTCTAGTATTTCTAGTCTAGTAGAAATACAGTGTGAATGAGTATGTAATTGTAAGTTTTCTGTGTTTCATTGATTATGCAAAGGCATTTGACTGTGTGGATCATAACAAACTGTGGCTGACTCTGAGAAGAATGGGAATCCCAGAACATTTAATTGTG